GGTAAGTTCACTCCCTTACGACTTCCAAGACTACCCCCATTGATAATAGTACAGTCTATGTAATCCGCTCCTAAAAGATATCAATGGCAATTTGTTACAGAATTTTCAATTCAATTTCTATGATTACAATATTTACTTTAAAAAATGCTGCTAATGGAGAATGTTTTACAATGTCAAGAACAACTGTCTTTTGCAGGATGAAGCTAAAATCTAAGACTCTCATGAGGCTTATGATTTTGTTTTCAACAATGCAACATAGTATCCCACTATTTTGTTCTGTAAAGCTTTTCCTTATGTTTTTTTCAATACCTTTAGTATCTACTTGAAGTGAAATCAGACCATCATCAATGTAAACAACAGCACCAATATCCAAAATTTTTGGCATGTTCTTGTAATCCACAAAGATACATTCTTCTGTTCCACTCTCAGCGTGTGCATCATCAAACGACAGACGGATCTTGTTGCCAGCTTTCAGCTCAACCTCGGCAGAACCACCCTTCAATAAAAATAATCATTAGTAACATCCTCATAACAAAAACTTCTATGGTAACAACGTCAGCGTTAAATACACAGTCCATATATTCACTTTCCATTTTAAATTAAAGAAAATATTCCAATTCCTTTGAAAATTTGGGAGAAAAAACATTTTTTTTCAGAGAAGTGGCTTTTTCACAGCCTAATCCGAAATTGTTTTTATTGCAAAATTGTAACAAAAATTAAGGCACACATAACCAAAGTTAAAGTTGGACAGCATCCCGAAAGACCAGTAGATGTTCAGGGTTCTCTTAAAGAAAGGTACTATATTTTCAGATTATGTGGTTGTACTTACCCCCTTGAGAAGGCCAGTTCTTATTTCTGGTCCTTTGGTATCCAAAGCAATCCCCACATTTCTTGAAAAGGTAAATCTAGATCTGGCCTCTTTAATGTTATTGATGACACTCTCATGATACTACAAAAATCAAAATTGTCAGAATTAAGCAATTTTCATAACAAGATAAAAAAGATAAGCTAGCAATCACAACTAAAATTTAAAATCTGGAATTTCTTATCTATGCCTAAATGAAATGTAAATATCAGTTTAAAAATAATTCATCCGTGTGCACTCAGGCCAATACATGATATAAACAAATTGACCAGTATCAATATTCCAAATACTTGCATACAAAATATCAGCTAACCAGTTTATCACCATAATTAAATAGTACATTGATCAATCAATCAATCCAATCAACCAATCAGTCAACTGTCACCCAACCAAATAATCTATCAATTAATAGGTATGTCAATAATTTATTCAATCAATAAATGAAACAATCAATCTATTAATTGATTAATCAATAATTCAATCAATCAATCATTTGATCAATCAAAAAAAATCAGGTAGTCAATCAATAAATTAATCAATCAACAAGTCAATAAATCAATCAATCAATAGGTCAATCAATCAATCAAATTTATAATGGTGAACTTAATTAAAAAATTAAATTCAAATGAATGATGGATGCTTTCTTTATAAATATACAAATGGAACAACAAAGAAACAGAGTAAAAAATGAAGGCAGAAAGGGTTGGGAGGACGCAAGACTAGATATATGGCTCATTGCAATTTTTATAAAAACATAAACTCTGCTACCAAGACATAAAGAAATGTACTTATTTATTACATAACAAAAACGATTACATTGTCTGGGCCAGTTGAATAATATTTTGGCCTTTAAATATACAGGTATAAGAAATATTAATGTTGCACATGTGTCTCCTAAAAATAGTATCTTACCTCATGACTTCCATGTGAGAAATTGAGACGAGCAATGTTCATACCAGACTTCATTATTTCCTCCAAAATATCAACATCCTTTGATGCAGGACCTTTAATATAACAAGCATTAAACTCAAATTA